ATGTCCTTGCCTAAGACTTCTTTCTAAATTGGAAAACGTTTTAACTGAGGGAATTGCTCTATTCGGAAAACGTTCATAGTATAATTGTCTAGCTTGTCTTGAATTCTTGCGACATTCGCCGTAAATAATTATCATATCGGTGTACTCGTTGGAACTAAACAGATTAGGCATTTTGAAATAATGTGTTAGGACTTGACAAACTCTAAATTATTGCAAACTTTATTAAGTAAAAACTGCTAACTTTATCGAGTGCACTTCTGTTTGACAAGAGACAGATTGATATAGTAGCAAGCAACTTGATGAAAATGAAAAAAATAACGAATCTCAGTTATTTATGGAGCGATTTCAAAATTTTAAAAACAGTTGTACAGAGAAAAGTAGCGACTACAAAAATGAGTGGAAAAAAATAGGGTGTCGTTAATAATATTTGAGGGGGTTGTTTCAGTGGGATAGTTTTTGAGGGTGGGTCATCAAGTTTTTATTCGTTTTAAAGTACACAGCCAACTATAATGGATGACTTTTGACCGGTTTAATTATCTTGCATGGTTTAGAAGTTACAGCATGGGTAAAACAATTTGGGACACCCTGTATACAGTTTTCGTTTACTACTTTTCTGATCTTTTACGTGAATGTTCTAAATGATTTATTCCATCAACACATGTGTCATCCAGTAGTCGGTGCTTCTCTGGTCGCATTCCACTAATTAATATTCGAGAATAATTCTTTGTTCCACTGGACTGTATGCTGGTTTTCATCCCACTCTTAGTGCCAGGCTCTCAGTGTTATCTCTCGAGGCCTCTGTTTTTGCTTCTTCCAAACGTCCTCCTTTTCACATTTGGTGTAGGTATCGTCGTTCTTCTACCAATAGATGGATGCACTGGATGCGCTATTCCAGAAATAATTTGCATTTTTTAAGCGATACTTTCTTGTATGCGTTCGCCACCCTTAAGGCTATTTTTCTCTGAGCTTTTGCCAGTTTTACCCTGTTTGATTTTAATCTGAGAGCTCCTGTCCATAGGGGTAACCCGTATAGTAAGATTGAGTGGACCATTTCACACAGCAGTATCCTTTTCTGGCTCTCTGGACCTCCCAAATTTCTCATTAGCCTTGAGAGCGTACCCACGTTCTCCTTTGCTTCCTTGACCACCATAGAGGTGTGATTCCTAAAGCTCTGTGTGTCATCTGATATGATACCCAAGTACCTCAGGGCTCTGGATGGTCTAATTTCCATCCCTTTTTGCATGAATCTAGGTGATTTCCTTTGCTGCTTCTTTCAAGGTTCACGGAGAATGACCAACTCCATCTTTTCAGGGGCCAGCTTTAATTGGCGTATATGTCCATCCACTTAATTATCCTCCTTTCGTTCGACCTGTGTGCCCGTTCTTTCCTATCTCTAGCTTTTACTTTATTGTTAACAAAATCTTCTTTTGCACCTATCATCGGTTCCTATTTTAACATCCCGTCGTACATCCCGTCGCGTCGTCGTACAAAATATTCCACAGGGTTGGTTCCAGAACCGATTTATGCGAGCCTTCTGCTGTGACTGTTTATTTTCTTTGTCGATCTTTTTTTTTTCTATCTGTCAAGTGTCTCTGAAAAAGGTTACAGATATCTCGGGATTTACCTTCTTCTTAGTTCCTTCATTATGAGACTCCATGCCATCGTATTGAAGGCATTTTTGATACCCAGTGTAATAAGCAGCGAATTTATACTTCAAATACCTTATAATCTGACAGTCTTTAAACCAGCTAAAACAAATGAATATCACAAGTTATAGCGAGCTTTAATAAACGTGTTCAGACCGATGAAGATGAATGTTCCGCCATGTCGGTGAAAAACAATGAATGCACACCGGCGATGGGTGTCGATCACGAGTTTTGTAGAGAACAGCAAAAATAAAAATGGCATTCACAGTTAGAAGGCATAGTTACTTAAAATCTGATCATAATATGTGACCATTTAGGCAAAATGCTACCATATACTCCATCTGAGTGAAATGAACATATTTAGAATGCCAGGATAAAACCATGCCCATTTAATTTAAAAGACTGAAAAATATACAAGATCACCTTACAAAATACTTATATAAAAAGTTTCTATTTGAGGGCAGACTAATCAAAGAAATCTCAATATTAGAAGAAATGCCCAGGATGATACTACTCTTTGGTAATACATCCTACACAAAAGCAACGAAATCCTTAAGTACCCGTTGGTCAATTTAAGTAACCAAATCTGAAATACCACCGGAATTTCTAAGTTTCGAAATCCCAAAGACTTAAAAAAGTTTTGCTAAAAGCCAGATACAAGACATTATTTTTAAAAATTACTTGTTGATAATTAATTTATAATCATAATTATCAAATTAATAAAGAAATCAGTTACCAACTACCCCTAAAAAATTTTGAATCTTTTTTCCTTTGAATTTTATAAATATCAACGTGCTTGCTCACATAAGGTATGACCGTTATACACAAAACAAGTAATCATGTATAAATATTGTAACGGATAACAAATCCACATAATACATTAAAAATAAACAATCAAAAATAGTAATAAGGATTTGAAATAAAATCAAACAAATCTGTAAAAATGAAATATATAAGAAATTCAATAATGACAAGAAGTACCTAAATAAAATAAATAGAACAAATTAAAGCATTATAGCACTAACAAAAGTTGAATAACCTGAGGAAATATCTCTCCTTATAGCATAAATGATTTTAGCTATGTAAAACAAACATTAAAATCGCTTTATCAACAAATTAAAATAGACAAAAAGATGAATTGTGCCTTTCCAACAAGACTGCAACATAATTTAAGTTTCCTAATCTTGAATTAAATTTGCTGGGGGGAAATGACGACAGTGACGTACACCACAACATCGAATTTGTATAAATTGAAAAGAAAATGGCTCTAAAGAAGTTTTAATGTATCTAATATGTGAAACCCAATCTAAGAATAATTTTTGCCTAGTTTCATACCTTAAAACGAATTAATAAAGCGATAAAACGATTTTAATAATTATTTTGAAGGTCAATAATTTTGGAAAATGTTTTTATATTAAGGTTCAATTCTTGTAAGTAATACTGCCGTGTTAATTCAAATGGTCATATCTGTTTAATATATGAACGTGAGAAAAATTGATTTTTCAAGAAAAATCAGTTAAACCCAAATTTCTAAGCACTAAATTTCGGATTTTATAGAATATATATCCACGAAAATTATAGAGATGAACAAAAAATTCATTGTTGTCAGGCGTAGTGGTAATATCTTTATATCAAGCAAAATTGCAGCTACGATCATTTGAATTAACACGGCAGAATAGTAGATTTAAGTTTTTAAATAGTATTAGTAAGTGAATTTCAATAAAACACAAGTGATTCACAATAAAAACGTGAAATTGAATAACACTAAATTAGTGCACAATTAAATAATAATCACTCCACGTATGGGTGATTGACGTAAAAAATAAACGAATTTTCCAAAGTAGTTGGCTGTGACATAAATGAACGTTTATAAAAATCAAATCACAGTTTATTGCTAAAGAATCAGTTAGCTCACTTGGACTGAATGTTCCAAAATAACATCCACTCCAGGGATACAAATTCAGGATGCGCAGAAGACTGCTGTTTGAATATAGTAGGCGGTTGTCATATATTGTATTGGTTTTGATTTGATTCTGTATTCGCCAGGGATACAAATGCGAGTTGCGCAGTGTATAAACTGGAACATTGAGATCAAAAGTGCCGACGCAGAATGAGCGAACTGATTCTTTAACTATAAACTGTAACCAAATCGCGAAGAAATTTAAGACGGTCCATCAAAATCATTTTCCTCAGCAACTCTGGTTGAGTTTCATAAAAATTAGAAGAAATCAACCTACCCATAGATGATAATGTGATATCTGACACCAAAAGACCAGCTGTCAAACATGACTTGGAATAATTTATTTTCCTCTCTATTTTTACATCTGTTGGAAAATAAACTGGAACAATTTGTCTGGTAGTGGATTCCCAACGATAAAGGAGATCTAAAAAAAAATTAATTTGATTAAGGCCACAATAAGAGAGACCATAACAAAACTTTTAAACGAGCAAATATGAACTTTAACAACATTAAACGATATTAAAAGGACCAAACGGTAAATTTTAACCTTAATAAACTTTCAGTGCAGTTTTATATAATTTAATTTTGTTTTAATATTTATAATTTAAGTAGATATTTCTTTTTAGTAGGTTTTTTGAAATAAAACAATAACTTCATCTCAAACAGTAAGTTAGATTTTAACGATCTATTTAAAATTAAAACTAGAATAATTCAAAAAACTTGCTAACTCTTATATTATCGAAGTTGGCAACTCATAGTTAGCTTATACTTTGGTCATTAATTTCATCTTTAAGGCGCCAACTAAGCCATTTCATTTTTATCACATAACCTTTTTCAATAACAACACGTTTTCCAAATTAAAAATGCATAAGGAATTAGGTACTTACCCAAGGTATACTTTGATTTCTTGTGTTCAATAATTTCCATAATTAATAAACTAAATTTCTGTTATTCACAAATTTTGAGTGTCTTTCTTCCAAACGTTTCATTTTTAAACGTATCTTTCACTTTGACCATAATTGAGGACCTTGGTGCAAAAACCGGCCAAGTCCACTTTTGGGCGAAATTGCGTTTTTCCACTGGGTATATAATTTAAAGCATCCTTGATTGATTGGTGCAAAAATCAGACAAGTCCGACGTATATTAATGGGTTGAAATGCTCGAAGGACTTGGCTGACCATACTCTTTTGGGCAAAAACCAGTCATGTCCAGGACTTGGTCTATTTTTGCATCAAAGCTGATAGTCGCGGAGTAGAAGGACATGACCGTTGACGATCACGCTCCGCTTACTAGACGGGAGGCATGTTATTGTTTCTTATTCGTGCGCGTGCCGTGTGGACGTAATCTGTTTATCGTATGAAGTAACGTAAACTAATAGTGTGATAATATCACAAATGACGTTATCTGATGAGGAAGAACCTTTTTTGTCATCAGGCAGTGAATATGTGCGATCTAATAGCGATCAGCCTAGTACTAGCCGAGCAAAAACCAGAAAAATTAAAAAACAAACGAGAAAACGCAAGAAACTTGAAAATACTCCTTTGAATAATTCGAATTTGACACCAGTTGTAAACAGGCCTAGTTTACCAGCCAATGTAAGTACCCCTTGTAGAAATAAAGGGAAAAAGAGAATACGAAACGGGGCATTGTGGCAAAGAAATATAAGGAAAGTGAAAATGGCAAAAGGTGAAGCGTATACCTATACTTGGGTGGCCTAATCCGGGTAGACCAGGTGGCAAGAAAAAGATAAAGAACAGGAACTGGCAAAGCAAAGACTGTGACTTTCCATTACAAGGTTAATCAGCGTATTAAAAATATTGCTCAGATTATTCATCAATATCCTGAGCCTGGTCATAGTTTCTTACCCTGTGACTGCTCCTTTGGTTTAGTTGAGAAAGAGAAAAGGAGAAGAGAACGAGTTTACGTACCTGCCGAATGGAAAAAACTAGTAAGAAAAACTAGCAAAAAGTTTTGGGTCATATATGTAACCCAAGACATAATAATGGACTTTACCGAGCATTTTAAACCCATTTTTAAAGCAACGTTTACTAGCCAAAATAATAAAACGAAATTTTCTATTTTAACATTCCGATTATTTAAATATCAAAGCGGTTCTAACTTTATTAAATGTAGCACTACTGTCTCCCTTTCAGTTTTCACCAAGTTTTCTGCTAAACTTGGCTGTAATTTATCGCTATCTATGACAAAAATTATCAAGGTCTACCTTTTGCCAATAAATGAAATAAAGCTGGCAGATGTGAAGCTACTGGTTAAGAAATATGTTCCAGAAGCATACCAAGGTTACTACAGTAGAATATTCGGGGAAGTTGGGGAAGAACCAGTGCCCCAGCCCACAGTGGAGTAGGTAGACGCCCGAGAGGAACCCTTAGAAGACGCAGCTTATGAATCAGACTCTTCTTTTATGTAGTTCTGCATTCAATTAAAAGTTTATGTGAGAAATAAATGATGGTTTTTCACGTTTGTGTTTTTTTGATTAATATTTTGGTGCAAAAGTCAGTCAAGTCCCAATTTTCAAAAATCACTTTTGGCATGATTTTTACAAAATATCGATTTTATACTGGCCCGTACATCAAATATCAATCATATCTATAATTAAACCGACATTTGGGCAAACTGCAAGTTTATTTCGAAATTTAGAATGTTTTTCTCGATTTCCCACAAATTTTGATTTTAGGACTTGGCCGGTTTTCGCACCAAAGTCTTCAATTTCTCTTAAATACCACTAACAAACACAGGCAGACCTTGATTTTATGACGTGTAAAATTCGAGACATCTGCGCGCGCTGCACAAGTTAAGAATCCACCAAGCGGGAGGAGAGTATGCTCTAGAACAGGGTCGGCTCAGCAGAAGTCAACCAAGGTAACGTTGATATATTTTTTTTCTGTAGCTATGCCGAGCAGCTGAATTGTCATGAAAAGGGGAGAACGAGTGTCGGTGGCGCCAAGGGTAACATTTGACATAGTTGTTGACATTTAATAAAAGTATTTTGTGTTTTATTTTTTTTGTATTATATTACTATTTGATCTTGTACAATGACAAAGTAGTTTTTGTTTGAGATAAATTACAACTATTTTTAGACAATTTTTTTCCGATGTTTGATGATTGAATATTAAAAAAAAATTTAAATAGAAACAGAACAAAAAAAAATAATTTAATTTAATAATACTATAATTCTCCTCGTGTGTCAATATGTACTTTAAAAAATGATTGATTTTTTTCTTTTCAGATGTAAGATGAAAAGATCTACATTTTAAAATAATTTTTGTCATAAACTTTGTCACAACCACCTTTTACCCATGTACCCTTCATTTAGAATATTTAACTAAGAGCATAGAGGAATGGCGGGATGCTTTTAAAGTTTTGCAAAAAAAATCGGGAATTTTAAAATAGCATTCTTTGTCAACAAACATTAAGAATAAGGAAATCTAATAAATAAAATTGCCTGTATGCTTTTGAGGTTTGGTTCACAAAATTGTATCTTCCCCCACACCTAGAAATCATTTATGGAATAATCTAAATTTATATGAAACGTAAAATTTTAATGAGAATAAATATACTCTGTTTTTAAACATTCAAATAAAATCTTTAACACTTTAAGCTTTTATCACCATAAAATTTTTACATTTATTAGCCTCGTAAAAAATCCTGAACTTTTTTTAATACTTTGAACTTTAAAAGTGTATTGAAGTCGATATGATAAACTCTCAATGATTTATTTAATTTTAAAATAAATAGTATTAAAAGAACTAATAAAACTGTTTTATAGCTTTTTAAAATTAAATTAACTCAGTAAATACCGTTTATATTCATTTTCACATGTACAGGCCATTTCTTTTTAAGTGGTTTATTTTTATAAAAGCATATTTTTCTTGAGTAGCATTGAAATTTTAAAGCTTTTATATCTTGCGGTAGGATTGGTGTTACTCAGCGTATTAGTTTAGTTATCGATTAGTGATAATTTATCATTTTCTTTACTTAATGTCGACCAAGTTTAAAGTTTACTATCATAATAATACTCTTCTTAATTCAGCCCCTTATAGAGTAAGATCCCAGAGCGATAAGACATAACTTATTTTCTAAAAGATGAAACTTTAAGTTATCAGTGACACCTGGGCAGGTACCAGGTGAGAAAGGTGACTAAAAATGATGATAATAATAATAATCATTTATTTAATAATTAGAAACCCCTTATATACATATAAAACACAAATTACAAAGCATAATAAAAATATATAAATATAAATACAATATACAATTGCCAAAAATGGCAGTTATTATTTAAGTAAGAAATATAAAAAAAAAATTAAATTCAACACAGTAAAACAATCGACTTCAAAAGCATAAAAAAGAATTTACATAAATTTACAATAAATGAGAACGAAACATAATACAACACAAAAAAACTATCCGATATTCATTAAAAATTCTTTGATCTTTCTTTTAAATACATTGAGAGAATGTGAGTCTTTCACATCTATGGGTAAGTTGTTAAAATCTGAGAAAACTTTAAAAAATAATGAATCCATAGTACTTTTATAAAAAGTTCGTGAAATATATATATTATTAACATTTCTTGTGTTGTGTGAATGAAAATCTTTGTTGTAAATATTTTGGAGCTATCTGATTTACAATTTTATACACCAAAATCATGGAAAAATAAAATAACCCATCTTTTACTGAAAACCATTTTAGAGAATATAACATATTTTTTATTGGAGTAAATCTATTAGTTCTTAAGATTATCCTCATACCACGGTTCTGAAGTTTTTGAAGCTTGTTTAGTTTTATAATAATTACTTTTATTTATTATTATTTTAATATGCAAGATTTGATGTTATGCTCGACTAGTCAGCTCTTAAGGAGGCAAGGGTCGTGGGTAAAGAAGGCGCCAGATCCCATAATTGGAACCAAGAAAACTAGCAATTTTCTAAAATATTTTAACTTTAATCACCATATTTACACCAAATATTTTATTAGCCAATGCAAGTAATGGTTTGTACCTGACATCTTATAATATTTACATAATCATATTTAAGTACACAAAATATTTCCTTAAGCAATGCAAGTAATTGTTTGTACCTGACATCTTATAATATTTACATAATCATATTAACAAAACTATTTTCTTAACCAATGCAAGTAATTGTTAGTACTTGACATCCTTAATATTTACAAAAAAACTATACTTAATGATGTAGGTAAAACTTGAGAAATAAACTTTTCTACTCTTATGATTATCAAAATGATATAAGCACTTCCTGAAGTTTCAAATCTTATTTTACTAACCATATTTAAATAAATTATAACACTTCCTGAAGTTTCAAATCTTATACTCTTCCCTTCTGGGGTTACTACTACTTTTAGGAACTATATTCCAAAATGGCTGACTGCCAACCTCACTAATTAATAAAAAACTATATTACAAAATGGATGACTGCCAAATAAATGACTCGATAATGCCATGTCCTCAATATGAAATTTATGTGAAACTAAATAATCCATAAAATAATAATTTCAATAACGGCACTATATGGCCCTAATTTCATGGGAAATTTAAGCACAAAGATTACATAATTATATACAAAAGATAATTTCAATAACGGCACTATAAGGCCTTACCTTCAAAAGAATTCAAGCAAAAAATTACAAAATTATATACAAAAAAAATATATTCAATAATGGCATTATATGGCCTTATCTTCAAGAACAGTTTAAGCAACAATTTACATAATTATATACAAAATTAAATTAGTACAACTGACCCATTACCCTGCAATATTAGCAGGTACATTTTTAGAATATTTGGACTGGTCTAAAAGTCCAGGATTGTTGGTTGAATAAAATATGTCAACTTAATTACTTGTTGAGGATGGAAATTTTAAATTTGACTATAAAGTTTATCAGTATTAAGAAAAGTAGACTTAACTTATCTTAGGGATGCAGAAATTCCAGTAACCACACCGCAACTTTAGGACAAACACGTCTCGATGAGTTCTTGTCCAGGACGGGAAACTTATCCTTGTCTTCAGCGTCCAGCACAACACGTATTAGAATGACCACATATTCAATTACAGCCTCGTACCTCTTCACGGGGTAATTCAGAAATATATCTCCCACACGACTCGTACTTCCAGCCCAACAAAAAAAAGCCTGTAATTCTTTTCTAATGAATTCTACTGATATCAGGATATTTTATTTCAACTCAATAATTGTACCGGAAGTTATTTCTAACAAAATCACATGAACTATAATATTCGCAAATGCTTCTCTCAAAGACGCAGGCAAAAAGGCCTCATGGTACGCTGTTTCTGTATTAAATAATTTTGGAGTTCCCAAAAAAAAAACATTACAAAAACAATCAAGAAACCAAAAGACACCTTCCTAACTTCAAAATCACCCATCTTTGACAAATTGAAAGTTGACTAGGTTCTGTTCAGAAACGGCATGGAACCTTCTCCTGACACGACTAGTTACATCGCAGCACTATGAATCAGACAGAGACAAAGCTAACCTACGATACGCTACACACCACTCGCACCTTCGGTGCAGCTAGTTAAACCTATTTAAATGTTTC